TTTCTATTGTGAGTATTTCCTTTTCTAAAAAGGGATGATCGGTTCTGGATGTATATCTTCAGACCGTGAGTACCTTTATTTTAAACGCTTTATAAAATTTATATCCTACTGGGCCTTTCGCTCACCTTTTTCTGTTTTTAAATGTATTAAACCCCTCTAGGCGACGCGAGGAGTGGTGCGGAATAGGTAGCTATTACCGGTGTGTGGACTTGATCTCGGGAAGCAAAGAGTGTAACCCTCCTATCTTTTATTTCAAGGCATGTATAAGAGATTATGGTTTGTAAACTTAAATGTTGCTAGATTGTGGTTGATGTCACATTTACTTATGTTTATATTCATGTATGCTAAACACCTGTGGGAATTCCTGACATGATACCAGTGATGTGGTTTTAAAACTGGTTTGGTTGGAAATTCCACCACCGTTCTTGAAATTAAATTTCTCTTGAATGCAGGGGCTCGTTTGGAAATACCTGAATGTTTTAGATTTGAAAGGAATTAAATTATTTTGCTAATCACTCTCTCTCAAACAGGTTTAAGTTTCTAAACGAGCCTCCACGTCACTAACCCCGGTTTAGGGGCGTGACATCTTCCCTTAATTGTTCCCCCTTTTTTTTTTTGCGAACATCCACGTGAATATACTCTTGTTTGTCTATTTTGGCTTATCTTCCCTTCCCGTTCATTCTGGCAAAAACCTACTTTCGCGGGGGAGATCCCTGCGGCCAGGGCTGGGAGATCGATAAATGCATGCTCGTCCGATAGAATTTCTGTCACCCTTGCTCGTGCTACCGGTGGGAGTAAGCGAAAGCCCGCAGGCGCACTTTCTTGTACAGAGCTGAAGAGGATTTGTTTGAGGCCCCCAAAGAGTCCTCATAAGAAACCTTCGTCTGCCCTGGAGCCACTTCGTAGGAGCTCGCGCTTCTCAACAGCCACTGATGCTCCAAGGGGCAGCCTTAGAGAGGGCGGTCTTGACTCCGAGGAAAATGATGGCAACGCCGCTACTCTTGATGGGCCGGTTCTCCCAGAAAACCAGACGGCCTCGCCGGTACGTATTCATGCACTTACCTTGCTTTCCCCATCTCTGTTCTCCCCCCTTTTTTTTAGGCAAACTAAGAGGGATGTGTTTTGCCACAGCCTTGTACCGCTGCCGCCTCCATTCTTGTTTTTCTGCCGCACGAAAAGGTACGTTCTAGCTTTGATTGTTCCTTCCTTCCCAAAAACTTGGAGGTAGCCTTTAAACATTCTTCTCTATTTTCTTTTTAGGCTTCCCGCGACCATGCGGACGAGAGGGTTAGAGACATCCCCGCTAGTCCTTCTCTTGGGGAGGAGCTTCTTAGCAGCCAGGTAAGCCTCTTTACGTTCGTCCTTCCCCACCTTTTTTTTTGTTAAGTATGAGACTCTTGTTGCAGCCTCGGGGTGGAACAAATGTCAAGCGTCCCTCTTCCCCCACCATTTCTCCCCTCACAGCAGGGGCGTCCTCTACTGAGGTAATTCATTCCCCTTTTGCTTTCTAGACATGGGCCGCCATTAGTCTCGCAGCGACCTCTCCAAAGGTCTGTTACAACCTTGGGATTACGGGGAAATTGCCACTCGAGCGATTCCCCTTTTTCTTTATTATTACCGTAGACTCCCGACACAAACCATAAGTATGCAAATCGTAAGATTGACGGTAGAACAACCACCATCATCCCGATGTAAGCCATAAGCCATAATCCATAGTGTACGCTTTTCACGTGACTCCTCCCATAGTACCGGAGTAAATCCCTAAGTCCCGGGGCGCACCCCCAGTCAGGATCCCATTGAGTTGTCCCATGTTTTCCCGGGTCCCCTTCTCCCTTTATTAGACATAGTTATTCGACACAAACCACAAGTATAGAAGCCATAAGGTTGTTGGTGGGATAACTATTGCCGTCCCGATGTAAACCATAAGCCATATTCCATAGGGTGCGCTTTTTGCGTAACTCCTCCCGAAGTACCGGAGTAAACCCATAAGTCCCAAGGCGCACCCCCAGTCTGAATCCCATCGAGTTGTCCCATGTTTTCCCGGGTTCCCTTCTCCCCTTTTTAGACATAGTTATCTGACACAAACCATAAGTAAGCAAGTCACAATTATTATTATTATCCCTCTTTTTTTACCTTAGATTTTGACGCTAGCTCCCATTCTTTTTTTTACAGGTGGGCTGTCGAGGTGAGACGAGCACTTTGGCTACATCAGGTGCATGCTCTAACTTCTCCTGGCCCGTTGTGGATGAGGGTGCTCCGTCCGGAGCGTGTTCCTTGTCCCCTCGTACCATTCCTGAAGGAAGTTCTGCTTTGCCTTACCTTTCCCGTGGTGACGACGGTTCGTGCGGCGCAAACACTCAGGCGGAAGCTTACGTAGCAGGGCTTCCGAATGATCCCCTGCCAGCCTCAACTGGTAACTCTCTCAGCGGGGATGGCCAATTCTCCTTGCAGTGGGAGTCCGATGTGAACACATTTTTTGCGGTCGTTTGATACCGCGGAGGCGGTCGCTGAGCCCATAGGAATAGTGCTGGGGTCCTCGTCCGCTCTGGCAGCCTTCGGAGGGGATCAAGTACCCTTGAAGGTAATTCCCTTCCTACAAACTGCCTTTGCTCATACCCCAGATTTCGTCCCCCTGAACTGCCTGTCTTGGTTCGTCAAACTGGGCTTGTTATCTGGTTTGGGTTTTGTCCTGCTGGAACTCCATCATGCCTCCCTTGATGAGATTGGCATCACCTCATTACTATCGTGGAGGGACGTATGTCGAGAAGCTGAAAAGCTTGGTTGCCAAGTCTCTCCTTTGCTGACACGAATTCAAAAGATTGCTTATGTTTTGCTTGAGCAGCATTGTAAATTCGTCAGAACATTTGCTTTAGATATCCAAATAGCCGAATTGGAGGGCAAGCTAGCCGCCTTGAGAAAGTAAAAAGTCGATTCCTGCGTGAGCTTGCCTGCAGAACACATGGCCGATATTGCGGAGGTTCGAGCGCTCAAAAACCTTGACGATGGCATGTTTATTCGGTGATGACGAAGCTGCCGACTTGCCATGGTGTGCTTACTTTCCTCTTTTCATGCCCAGGTATGGAGGCTAGTACATGTAATGCTCTATTTATTTTGTAAAAGTTCCCTCTTTTTTTTTCATTTGGATTGTCCATATGCGCTCCTCTTCCCCCGTTTTTTTTTTGTTCAAATGGAAACATACTCCAATTTGACCCTGAATGACTGTATGCATATGAGTTTTGAGTAATGGACAGGGGATTTGAAGAACACGAACATTTTTATTCATAATGCATTGATAACAAACGTTATAGACCTACTACCTTTTCTTATAACCACCCCTATTTCCAAAAGGAACATAGTGAACTAAGTAGTCTTGAATGAAATCATTTGTCACGTGATAGTCATAACTTGCTTTTAACGGTATGTATGCCTTCTTAGAAGTTCATCTGTAATGGTTGTTTTCAAGAGACAGGTTCTTCTGCGACGGATGCAGCCCGTTCAACAGTAGTAGCGCTTTAACGATTTTCCATTAACAGTGTGGTACTGCCTTCGTCCGACTCATCTACCAGCCTGTAGTACCCACTGCCGTGTGCTTCCTTTACCATATATGGCCCCTCCCAATTTGGAGAGAACTTGGATGGCCCTGAGACTTGCCTCCGGACATGGTCAATCACCTTTAACACTAGTTTTCTTGCCTCGAAGGCTCTTGGAATCATAGCCTTCTCGTAGGCCACCTCTGCTCTTCGTTGGTACACGGTTGCTCTTTGCCGTACAATCTATCTTCTTTCATCCGCCGCTTCTAAGTCTAGTATCCTCTCATTCCCGCAAGAATTTACGTCTCATTCCAGGTCATTGACCATAGCGACTTAGGTGGTTGGCACTTCCACCTTTGCAGGGGAAATTGCTTCCGAGCCGTACATAAGGGAGTAAGGGGAGAAACCTGTCGCTGATCGAGGCGAGGTCCGATAGGCCCATAAGGCATCTGGTAGATGCACACTCCAGCCCCCAGCGTACTCGTAAACCATTTTGCTCAGAATCCTTAGAAGTGTCTTGTTGGTGGCTTCGGCTTGTCCATTTCCCTGAGGGTACTATAGTGAGGACTTCCGATGCTTGATTTCATACCCTCGAAGGGTTGTTTCGACGACACTATTCACGAAAGGGCACCTGTTATCACTTATGATCTTGTATGGTATGCCAAACCTGCAAACCAAATGTTCTCTGATAAAATTTGAAACGGCCGCCCCCGTCACTTTCCTCATTGGTACGGCTTCAACCCACTTGGTGAAGTATTCCATGACCCCAAGAATCCATATATATCCCCCTGACGCGGGATGGATAGGACCGATCAAGTCGAGCCCCAAGTGTGAAATGGCCATGGCGTCCTCATGTCTTGGAGGGAGGTGTGATGCTTATGATGGAGATTTCTGAAGCTGACAGGTGTGGCAACTACAGACGTAGGTTGATGCATCCTTTGCCATGGCCGGCCAATAATATCCCATGCCCAGAAGCTGTCGGTAGAGCTTCTTTTTTCCTTGGCGTTCTCTGCATTCTCCTGCGTGTACTTCTTGTAGCGCCTTCTGCGCCTCGGCGTTGCTAAGGCATCTTAAAGGCTCTCCATTGAAGCCCTTCCGGAATAAGATGTTTCCTTCGGTAAAGTACCTTAGAGCCAATCTTCTTAGTTTATATGTCTCTCTCAAGCCAGCGGGAAGGATCCCATTCTGAAGGTACTCAAGATAGGGGATTCTCCAGTCCTCGGCTAGGTGGGCCGTAAAAGCTTCATCCATCGTTTGCGCTGGTTGACACTCCGAGCAGGTGGTCTGTAGAGCACTCGCCTCTTCTCTCATTTTTGGCCAAAAATAGCCTCATCGTTGCAACCTGTGGTATAGGCTTATGACAGTATCGACCCTACATATCTCCTTATGGACTTCCTCCATTTGTCTTCGGGCTTCTTCTACCCCTATGCATCCGGCAACCCCACCCGGGAGCCTTTTGTACAAGTCTCCTGCAAGGAGGATAAATTTTTTTAATTCCTTAAGACCTCTGTCAGGCGCAGTGAGTGCGTCCCTTACTAACGTCCGCCAGTCTATCACGGGTGATGCTGCATCCTCCCTCCTCATGTGTTCTTCAAATACTTGAATGATGCAAGCATCCCTTTTTGAGACAGCTACACTTGCCGTTTCCCCACTAAAATGGAGTCTTGAGCCTAGTGTTGCCAGTGCGTTCGCATAGCGGTTTCCCAATCCAGGCGTATGCTCGATGATGACTTGCTCGAACTTCTCAATTACCCTTTGGGCCATAGCTTGGTAGGGAGCCAGTGCTAGCTCTTTAAGGGCAAAGTCACAACTCATTTGTCTTACCACCAAATTGGAGTCTCTTGTGATCTTGAGCTTCTTCATTCCCATGTTCCTAGTGGTGACCAATCCTATCAAGAATGCTTCATATTCCGTGATGTTGTTGGTGCACGGGAATGTTATTTGGTGAGACAAAGTGGTGGCGTGCCCGCAAGGACTTTGATGAGTGAGTTCTAACTCACTTATTTAATGTCCTAAAATTGAATAATTTACAATATCTTCAAGTTTTTAGGTTGTTTTAATATGTTTGTGAGTGATTCAGGTAAACAAAGAAGAATTGGATCACTTAGAAGAAAAACGTCAAAAGGAGCCCAACTTCAGCGCGCGCCCGCGCGCCCACATTAGGGACTCCAGCGCCCACCTGCGCGCCCACATCAGGGAACCAGCGCGCGCCCGTGCCCACATCAGGGAACCAGCGCGCGCCCGCGCACCCACATCAGGGAACCAGCGCGCACCCGCGCGCCCACATCAGGGAACCAGCCCGCGCCCGCACCCTGCCCCAATGGGGAACAGACACGGAGAGAGCAATGGAGAGTTTTGGAGACAACATAGAAAAGGAAAAACCCTAGTTTTGGGGGCAGCAGACAGAGAGGAGAAAAACCCTAGTTTTTTTGGCGAATCAGAGGAAGCTCTTGGAGATTGGAAGCTGGACTATACTGAGTTTTATTTTTCTTCCTCTCCTTTTCTCTTGTTCTTAGACCTAGTATTTTCTCTATTTTTGCGAATTTATCATGTATTTTCAGATTTGTTTAATCTTAAATATATTTGAGTTTACATTGATGGGTTGCTAGATTTTTATGCTAGGGAACTTGATGTAACCTTGCTATGATTATGCTATGAATATTTGATGTTATTTGATGTTTTTCATGCCCAAACATTTGTGCTATTCTTTGCTTAATGCTTTAATAAATTGAAAGATTAATTAGAAGATTTAGATATGTAGATTTAGGCTCGAGAGAGTCACTTGCACATGTTGGGATTTGTTGAACACAGCCTAGTGAGTATTGGAATCGAGACATGAATATGAGCTAGGTAATCACAAATGAATTAGAGCTTAATGAATGCATAATTAACTTAATTAATAGGAATATTAATTAGGTGGTTTTGCATATATTTGACTCGGCACTCGAGAGAGGGAGTTGGATTATTTTAGAAAATTCATGATTAATGTTTGGCTTGAGAGAAATCAATTGCATTAAAAAGGATTAGAATAATTAGGCAAGGTGAAATCAAGGACCCTAGCTACCTTATCATTAGAGCCCCCTTCGATCCAAAAAGTTTCTTCCATTGTTTAATTTGCTCGTCTAATTAGTTTAGCATTTTATTTTTATTTTGATTGATCTTATTCTCATGATTGGACTTGTCTAGATAAAACTGGGTTATTCTAGTTGTGATACTTAGTAAGATTTTAGGAACACAATCCTCGTGGGACACGACACTCACTCACTACTTTATTACTTGTCGACCTCGTGCACTTGCGAGTAGAAAATAGGTGTTATTTTCGCACCGATTAGACTTATTAACACAATTCTCATTCCCCCAACCGTGGTTGTGGCCGACCCGTCGAATTTTAAGGTCCAGGTCCCCTCGACTTCATTGGTAGTGACACAGCACTAATTTTCAGGCAGGTCTCTGCGCATCTCCTTCTTTCCATCTCGGCCCAAGCTCCCGCCGAACTGAGTCATCATATCTATGACAGCCTGACTCTTGATCGCTGTCGGGGTTGTGCACGTTATGTTGAATTCGGATAGTTGCAGCATCCATATTGCCAACCGCCCGGAGAGTACTGGTCGCGTCAGGAGATACTTCAAGGGGTCTGATTTCACCATTAATAGTAGCTTGTGTGACAGAAAATAGTGTCGCAATCTCTGTGAAGCATAAATCAACGCGAGACAATTCCTCTCTTTTTCAAGGTACCTAAGCTCAACGTTACTCAATTGGTGATTGACATAGTAAACAGGTCGTTCGACACCGACTTCTCCTTCTTGTGCCAGAAGTGCTCCTATTGCTAAGGTAGTGGAGGCAAGGTATATCCGGAGAGGCTTCCCTGGGCTTGGCGCGATCACCGTCGGAAGATTGGTAATCGAGTGTTGGATCCTCTCGAATTCCCACTAGTGTTTCCCTGTCCATTTGAATGCAGCTTCTTTTTCCAAGAGCGGCTTGAAGACGGCCACCTGCGCAGCAAGCCCCGAGATGAACCGTCGAATGTAAGATAACCTTCCAAGAAAGCTTTTCAACTCCTTTACCGTTGTTGGGGGCGCTGTTGCCGTGATTCCCCGTACCTTGGCTGGGTCAACATCGATACCTCTTTAGTGGACCATGAAACCTTGAAATTTCCCGCTGGACACGCCAAAGGCGCACTTCTTTGGATTCATTTTGAGATTGTACTGTCTGTTAGGAATGGTGTCCTAGAAGCATAAGATGTAATAGGATATTTATTATTTATTTAATAAAAGAGTTTATTCATTATTTTATGTGCATATATTTATGAATATTTTATGAATATCAATAAAAATTCCGTGATTATTTATGTAACCTTAAACATTGTATATAAGTGTTATATACGAGAGGATAATGTTTAAGGCGTTGGAAATGTGTCCATAAAGTATGATGTAATTTGTTATTTATGAAATGGCAAATATCGGACATCATTGTTTTGCTGACGTTTATAAATAAAATAAAGTTATGTTTTAATTCATACTCAAGAGTGCTAGTAATATTGCTTAGTCCATAGACTGTTATCAACGAAAGAAGAGTCAGGGAATCCCTGCCGGACAAGCTCTTCTAATATCGTTTAAAATTGATATTCACAGTCTTAGGATCGATTGGGCAATCGAATCTGATTATGACTGTTAGATCGAACCATGTGATGCTGGTCTCGGGGCATGGGAGTTGGACTCTGTGGTTGATCTAGACATGTTCACAACATGTTGAATAGACCATGTAACTAATTAGGTTAGAGCAAAAACTGTTTACTGAACTCTAAACTAAATTATTACAACTTAAGTATATTTGCATAATTATCTCAATCTTGAAGTGAATACATAACTCGACTTGATTTCTCATGGTCTTTGATTCACCAATGAGATTAGTTCATAGTTTTTGAACAACATCTCGGCTATTGCGATCATGACATAATTAATTTGGAGTTGTGTGATTCACAAATATGGAATTCGTAAGTGATAATATCACCTCATGCTTTATTGATAGGTGTGTGAGTAAATAAACCAGGCCTGGTATTCAATGATGGTAATCATTGATTAAGACATCGTAACATGTGTGAGACATCTTACGAATATAAGTCTTTCTTATTCACAATCACATAAAGGAGTTGAGGAAATAATGACTGGAATGGTAAAACGGTAATTTACTATACCATTCGAGTCACTGATATTTACGAAGGATAATAGTGCATTTATTTTGTGGACCATGTGATAAATTGTATTAACACCATCAGAAAAATAACACATATGAATCGAGAGATTAGTCGGCATCGAACCTTTAGTGGAGTCGTACGATGTCAGAATTAAATACGTCAATAACTTATCGGGATAAATTAGTCGAGTATTGTAATTCCATAGCTTCATTCATATGGGTCCATTCGGTCTCAAGGCTAGCTCTAATGAGTGGGAAAATTGAAACTGATGTTTTGTTACATGATTATGTTTAAATAAATTCATTATGTTATTTTTTCATTTATTTGATAATTGAAAAATAAAAGGAATGAATTTGAATTTTGAAATTAATGGTGATTAATTTAAAATTTAAAATAGAATTTGAACATGATTTGATTTGGCAACAAAAGGGAAGGGAAAAATTCAGAAATCCCTTGGCAAGTGGGAATTCAGATTTTGATTCAAAAAGGAAGGGAAAATTCAGAAATCCCACCTAGGGTTTGAGTTTTCGAATTTCCTCCTATAAAAAGATATTATTGAAAACCCTAATGGTGGCTAAGAAAAAAAGATATCTCACTCTCATTCTCTTCCTAGGGTGGCCGGATTTTGTAACAAAATTAGAAGGAAAATTGTTTCCTTAGTTTTTTAAAAAAGAGCACACTCTCTTATCCCAAAAACACTTAGAGTCATAGTCTTGAATCAACGAGTGGTTTTTGGTGTGATCGTGTTCATAAATCAACGGTCTTGTTTCACGGCAATTCTCCATCTCAGAACGTGAGATAGTGAGACAAGATCCTTGCGGCCATATTTGATCCAATCGTCTTAAAGGTATGATTGTCATTTTATTCCTTTGTCAATAAACTTATATCATGCATGTATCTCTCGTTGTGATTTATGTTTAATTTGGAATTAAAAGATATGTGAAAATTTTTGAAATTTCCGCCTACAAGTTTGTTGTTGCTTAAATGATTTTTCACTTAACAATCGCAACTTGATCCTACATAAGGATAATAATAAAAAAACAATGTTCATAATGAATTTAATTAAAGTTCAGAATCTTTAATTAAAACATTATTAATACATGTCATTCCCATTTAG